GAGCTGAGACCTGGAGTTTGGGTGGGAGTTAGCCAGACATGGAGATGGAGGTGAAGTTAATGGCCCTGAAGAATGTTCCAGGCTGAGGTAAGGCAAGGGCATGTTTAAATCTAGAGGCCAAAGGGGAAAAAAAAAAAAAAGAAGAAGAAGAAGAAGAAGAAGAAGAAGAAGAAGAAGAAGAAGAAGAAGGAGAAGAAGAAGAAGAAGACGGCGACGACAAGTTCTCAGTGGGGGCAGGTCTGCCTATCTAGAGGATTTAGGAAAGGCTGCTGGTGTTTCCAGTCACTACCAAGAGGGTCCTAGAGAGGAAAGAACTTCTCCCACAGGAAATACCTCCTCCTGCCCACCCAGTGCAGAGAATGCCCCGTAGGGAACTGCAGAGAGCAACTAAAAGAAGTCGATCTTGATTGGAGAGTGGGAGGGAAGGGATGAGGCTAGGGGAGGGGATGGGGTGGGTGTCCCACTGTCATGTAAATATCCCTTCCTGGCTGCCAATCCAGTAGATTTAAACCTCCGCCACCTGGGGCAGCTCCAGCAAGCGGGCTTTTTCCAGACGTTCCTCTCTCCTGGTTTCGTGGAGTTTCCTCACAGCATGGCCCCCAAACGCCAGTCTTCGCTCCCGCCTCAAACGAAGAAACCAAGACTACCTCCTGCCCCCAAGCCGCAGGAGACGTCGACATCTCAGCACTTGCCTAAGGGAGGTATGTTCCTACAACACTTAATCGGAGACTTAAGGGATTTTTTTCCCCCAGTGCCTTTTGAGATATGACCCCAAACACCCTGAAGGGTTTCAGCCCAGGATGGGCGAGTGGATTAGGTGATGTGAAGCAAAAACTAGAAGGGGCGAAACTGAGAGACCTAGAGCACGTGGGAGCTCATCCCTGCCCCCAACCCAACACCTAAGGTGGGCTGTCTCCCAGCACCCAAACTCACTCCTCCTGGGTTCCCTGTCTTGGTAAGTGGCACCAATAGCCAGCCTGAGGCTGGGCGATGAGCGACCCCTTTCCTCTCTTTCACCCCTCCACATCCAGACAAATCCCCAAGTCCTGGTGGTTCTACCTCAGTACCTCTCCTATCCATCTACTTCCTTCCTGCAGCTGCTGCCTGCCCACAACTTTGGCCAGATTACTGCCACTCCTCTTGCTTCCAGCTTCCTCCTCCTCCTCCAACCCTCCAACCCCCCCACCCCCCATCCAGCTGTAGCAAAGCCAATCACGTGACTCCCTGGTTTAAAACCCTTGCCTCCCCATTGCCCTAGAGCTATCGACTAAGTGACTTCCCCGCGTCCCCCTGGCTCCTGGCCGCCCCTCCAGGTTCCTGCTCCCTGCGGCACCTTTCACTGCTCTTCTCTCTCTCACCTCAGGGCCTGGAAGACCACTTTTCCTCTGCCTGGATCACTCTTGTCTCCCTACCTGTGCTCCTCTCCTCCTGTAGCTTTCTGCTGATAAGTCACTTCTTGCAGGCGTTCTCCGAGCCACAGCTGCTGGGTGTTAGGAGCCCCCTTCTGCTCTTGTAGCACTCAGAGTCCCCCCCCCAGCCTGGCCCTTACCTCATTACATTGTCATTGTCTGTTTCACGTCTGCCCCTTCCTCCCCATTAACTGTTAACTTAGAGATGAGGGCTGGGTTTTCCAGACACACTGCTTGGAACAGTCACAACGTGGTTTGTGTGATTGGGCCTCTCCGATGGAGTGGGGATATTGTGGGAACTTCGAGGGAGCTGGATCTCTATAAGTAAGAAGACAGGAAAGCGCTGCCCTAGGAAAATGTGACAGCAGGCTGCCTAAGTGCAGAGGGGAGCAGCTCGGGAGCCCATAAATCTTCCTAATTTGCTGACATGGCTGAGACTCAGCCACGCTTGTGGAAGGAGCACTGGATGAAGAGTCCATATCATGGTGCTCCAGTGGGTCTGAAGGGTGATGTGTCAAGTTGACTTGAATGGGTCCCAGTCCATCCCCTTCCAAATGAGATGCAAAAGACCTGCCCAGCTGATGCCCCCCTGTGGTAAAGCTAGACAGCCAGGGTTCGAAACCTGGCTCTGGCTGACTGTGTGACCTTGCTGGGCAAGTGACATAACCTGTGCTTCCTTATTCTTCTGTAAGATGGGCTCAACAGAACCCCATCTGTTAGGCTTGCTGTGTGGCTTAAATAGATATGAAACACTCAAGACATCGAATGGCTCATAATCAGTGCTCTTGATGGATGGTAAATTTCTTCCTACTTGTGAGCAGTAAAATGTGGATGAGTCCTCCTGGTCACCCTCTGTTTAGCTCCTTGGGAGAATCAACATGACCGGGAGGGATTAGAAGGTACAACCATAGCTCCTCCAGGGTGGTTCATCTAAATCCAAATGACAGCTTATGCCACCCCCTGGGCACTGGTCAGCCAGGCACAGTGCTAAGCACTTCTTTATCCATCAGCTCTCAAAACAGAAGCTGTGAATAATTCCATTTTACAGATCAGAAAAAGGAGGCTCAGAGAGGTGGAGGGGATAGGTTTTGAAGGCCATCCTAGCTAAGATTTCCTGGTCATCTTGGGACACTGCTGTGTTGTAGGGAATGCCCACATCTCATCCAATCTTTAAGCTGCAGGGCTCTCCATCAAAGGAAGCTGGGGAGGAGAGGAAAGGAGAAGAGAGGGAGGAATTCCTGGAGGGAGGTGAGAGGCCAAGGAGAGAATGCAGAGCTCATGGATGATTTAGATTCGGGGAGACCACAGTGACTAATTCAGCATGGGTGAATTATCTCTTGGCATGTCCATGCCGCTCCCTTGTTTACTGAAACTCTTGCCCTTTTGCTTTCTCTTTCTCTTCCACTTCCTAGTGTGTGCTCCCTGCATTCATCTTGAGAAGTGTTGTGGGAAAGGTCAGGAAGAGGAGCGGGATGGTTTTACGGGCTAGGATGGTTGGAAAGGAGACTTGGAGCCCCTGCAGATGCGTGGGAAACACAGGTAGATCAGGAACTTAGGAGATGCTCTGGGTCACTGCTACTCACAGCCTGTAAGCAGGCTTTGTCTGAAAACAGCAGCCCTCAGCATAGTGTTTTTCAGACCGTTTTATCCCATTAATGGGTCACAAAATCAATTTAGTGGAGTGCGACCTGCATTTAAAGAAAATAAAATAGAGTAGAAAATTAAAAGGCACATCACACTTAGTAAGGGTAAGTATTATTTTGGGTCCAGGTGTATACGGAGTCCTGATGTCAAATGTCAGGTCAAAAAATGGAAAAAAAAAAAAAAACAATCTTAGGGCAGGGGCCTTGTTATCCACTGGCATGGTTTAGAATTGTGGTTCTGCTACTCACATCAAAAAAAGTTGGATTTAGCTTTGTGATGAGGGTGTTAATACCTACCTTGTATTTTGTGAGGATTAAATGAGAAAACACATGTATTTCATCACAGCCTGTGGCCCAGGGTGCACTCTTCAGCAGTGCACTAGAGCCTGGTGTTCTAATTCAGCGCTGTTCAGTGACATCACTGTGGTGGCAGGAAATTGACCATGAGAGTATTTATACACCACTGAAATCAGCAAATGCTACAAATCAGGGGTTTTGGTGTTTCGTTTTGTTTTTTTCTCTTCTGGGAGATGGTTGTCAAACATTTACCAGTTTATCACTGGTGCTAGTAATTCTTCCTTTAAAAAGCCTGTCCAACTGAGACAGGTGTGGGATTGAGCTGGGCTCAGGAGGGAAAGGATTAGATGAATCTCTGGGTTTGGGGGAGAGTCCCAAGAAGACATTTGTATTCTCTACCCATGGACTGTATGCCATTTATTTAACATTTATCTTTATCGATCACCTACCAATGGACTGTCTTGAACATTAAAGACACTGCTTGAGTTTTAAGAGCCGATAGTAAAACATGAGTGCTAGAAGGCAAATAATCCAACTCCAAATTCTGCTTACAAAGGCCCAGGGAGAGATTTCAGGCTTTTGGTGGTCCACCTCTTGGGACTCTGGAAGAGGGAGTAGAACAGTGGTGCATTTGCATTACCTGAAAAACATTATTTAAACAGAAATGCATTGGCCTTACTTAGTGGTTCAAGTCTTGGCCGCTAAAGCAGGTCTTGTAGGTCCTATCTCTGACGTGGTGAAATGAATTTAACACCGCCCACGCCTTCGGGCGGAGTTGTGCCCCTCAATGAGATCTACTCCTATTGCTGGGACTGGCTCCTAGCACGGTTTCTTGCAAACGTTAGGCACCGAGTTGGGCAAAAAAGACGCGCAGATAAGCGTGGCCATCTCCCTGCCTTCAGAGGACTTCCAATTTGGCGCGGCCCTGCCTAAAAGTCACCAATCACACAACGTTCCCCTTTGTCAGCCTCTTTTTGAATTATATAATTTCAGAAATAGGTACAGAGAGGGAAGGTGACCTGCCCAAGTGCACACGGCCGTCTGGGCAGAGCTTGGACTAGAAGCCAGGAAAAGGCCTTGTAAGTGGACTGGACAGCTTCGGGGTTTGCAAACAAGCCTGAGTGAGTCCGAAGGGCGGCTTCCCCATCTGGAAAATAGGATGGAGATGTCGCCTGCCTTCACCCACGAAGAGGGATGCCCCAGCAGTGTCCCACGGCGCCTAACCCGGGGTGGGTGTATTTCTGGGCCCCCGGTGTGAAGCTAGGCTGTAACAAGGCCTGCACTTCTGGGGTGCTCTAACACCCCGCTCCGCGCCACCCGGCGGAGAAGGGAAGCCGCTCCGCCACCACGTGACACGCCCGCCGGGGGGCCTGCGCGCAGCCCGGCGAGGCCCCGCCCCTCGGGCCGCCGCGCGCCCGTAGCGCGCAAATGTCCCGGGTCGGGCTGGAGAAGGGGAAAGCGGGGGAGGGGAGCGCGGCGCGGGGGGCCGGCCCCGTACGTCGCGGCGTTCCTTCCTCCCGCCTCTCGGCCAGGCCCTGTGTCTCCTCGCCGCGGCTCCGCCCCCTCGTCCCGGCGCTCCAGCCAATGGCGGGGCGGCGCGAGCCTCTCCGGCCGGGGGCGGGGCGTGCGCGCGGGGCCTGGCGCGCCTGCGCCCTGCCGCCCGCCCCTCGCCGTGAGGAGGAGGTGGAGGAGGAGGTGGAGGAGGAGGCGGCTCGGGGAGAGCGAGCAGCGAGCTGGACCGCGGAGCGTGAGTGAGGGAGCCGAGCCGCCTGCCCGCCCGCCGCCGCCGCCTCCCCTCCGTAAGCAGGAGCCCGGGCCGGGGCCCGGCACGCCGCCCCAGCCCCTCCCTCGTCGTCAGGCCGCGAGGGCAGCGCGCGCGAGCCAGGGGGAGGGAGAGCGAGCGAGCGAGCGAGCGCCGGGAGGAGGCGGCCGGACCGAGCGAGCGCCCGCGCGTGTGGCGTGAGGGGAAGCCGCTGCCCGCCCCCTTCGCCTTCCCTTCTCTCCCCCTCCCCGCTCCCCCCCCGACCGCGGAGCAGCACCATGTCGGCGCCGGCGGCCAAAGTCAGTAAAAAGGAGCTCAACTCCAACCACGACGGGGCCGACGAGACCTCAGGTGAGGAGCAGGCGAGGCGGGGGCCGGCCCGCGCCGCCATCTTCGCCGCCCGCCCGGCCCGCAGGCCGCCGGCGGGGCCCGGGGCGCGCGGGGGGCGCTGGGCGGACGGGCCGGCGCGCGCCTCGGCGCCCTTTTTTGTGCGCGCGGGGCCGGGGCCGGGGTGGCGCCGCGGCGGCGGACGGCGCTGCGAGGCGGGGGCGCTGCGGCCTGCTCGGCGCGGGCGGAGGAGACCCCCCCTTCCTCTCCCCCCTCCCTCGCTCTCCTCCCCCTCCCTCCCTCCCGAGAAGCCTCTCTTTATTGTGCTCCGCCATGATGCCTCGCTCCCATCAGCCGCCGCCGCCGCCACATGGTGCGGCCGGACGCGGCCCCGCGGCCGGGCCTCCGCGCGGCTCCCCCTTCGCGCCCGGCCTGCGGGCGGCGCCCCCGCACCCGCACCCGGAGGCCGGCCCCGGCGCGGACCTCTGCCTGGAGCTGGGGCGGGGTGGGGGCGCGGGGAAGCACGCGGCCGGCCGCGCAGTGGGCCTGGCCCGCCCGGGAGGATGCTCTGGCCGGCCCCGGGCACACTTCCCACGTGGGGTGGCCGCCCCGTCGCGGCAGAGCGCTGCGAAACCTGGCCCGGCGGCCAGCGAGTCGGAGGGGCTTTACGATGGCTCGCAGCAAACCTCCCAGCCTTGGCCGCAAAGGCTTTCTCGGCAGGGGGGCTGCAAAACCCGGGATGGTTACCGGAAATGAACCGCGCGATCAGGCCCCTTCACGCCCACTTAGCTTTGTAGGTTCTGCAGTCTTCACCGGACAAAAGGGCACCTCTTCCATAGCACACCCCTTTCCTTCCTCTGCCTTCCGTGGCTCATAGTTTTCAGACTTCATGCTTGCTCCCTGTAAGTGCTTCAGAATCGTGTGGGGCCTCATCTCAGATAAGCCCGCCTGAAATTGGGTTGGAGGGGAGAGAAAGGTCAGGGTCGAATCCTAGGGTTCTTATTCTAAGAAGGTGAAGTCCAGTGTTTTTACGATGGTCCGGCAGATTCAAGAGCCTTACCTGTCAGGCATGTCTGATGTCTTTTAATTGTAATCGATACTGAGCAGTATTTTCAACTTCGTGTAAGAAGTGATTCTACCACTGAGATAGGTGGTGTCCTCATTTTCGTTATGGTCTTGGGTTAGTTTCCGTATTGGAGTTAACAGCTGGCATCATTCTGTTAACAGGTATATAACGTGATAAATAACCGTAAGGATTTTTGAATAAGGCTTATTCCTTATCTTTCATAATAGTAACTTTAGTAACTGGTCTCTTTCTTGTAAGGAAACTCTTGAAAAAGTGCTGCAAACATTCTTGAGTAGCCTAGCAGATTGCATGATTTGTGAATAGTCTTTTAATTAAAAAGTAATTTGTCAACTACGGGCATGAACACGTGGAGAGCATGCCTTGTAGTAGGCAGTTTCTTTTTTTAAAACTATTTTATTGATATGTCACATCACAGACTCTTAACATCAAGAAAACGAATTTCATATTGTAACTAGCATTGAGTCCTATACACCTTTTTCTTACAGAAAAAGAACAGCAAGAAGCAATTGAACATATTGATGAAGTACAAAATGAAATAGACAGGTAAAGTTTTTTGTAGTTTACTTTGCAGAAGTTTTCTGAGATGCAGCTTACAGTCTGGTAATCATTGAAACTATGGTCAAATAAATCTGTATCCACTGGCTAAGTGGGGATGATTTTAACTTAGTTGGAAATATTTTGAAAGGTCAGTGTTAATTTCCTGTGAAAGACTTATATGTTGACCAAAAAGTTTTTGAAGAAAGTACATTGACCTTGTAAAGCTTTGGTTTACTTTCAAAGGCTACAAGTTGTCTGAATTGCAGTGCCTGGGCTTCTGATAGTTTAGCATCATGGCATCAGTGTTGCTCCCACTTGGGTTATAACTTTGTTACTTTATTAGCACTTTTTTTTTTTTAAACATCTGCTTGAGGTTGAAACAATTGAAGTTAGCCTGGTGATAGAGTTGGTGATGTAAATATACAATGTTACCAAAATGATCAGTTTGGGCACTTTAAGAACTGTTTAACTATTGAGTGTGTTGGTGAAGCCTATCAGATTGCCATCTTAGTTTTGACTTGAATGTCTAACTACAAAAATCTAGGTGTTTTGGTCATTATAAATAATTACTTTGTACTCTTCGAAAGCTAATATTCTGGAGTTTCAGCAATTTTTGTATTTGTCAAATACCATCATTGTCAACATTGTTTTTCATTTGCTTCAGACTTAATGAACAAGCCAGTGAGGAGATTTTGAAAGTAGAACAGAAATATAACAAACTCCGCCAACCATTTTTTCAGAAGAGGTCGGAATTGATCGCCAAAATCCCCAATTTTTGGGTAACAACATTTGTCAACCATCCACAAGGTACGTTGTATCAGAGCATTATTCCAGGGTATGGGATGTCTGTGCTTGTTAGAGTGGAGGGACTTGGCTTGAGAACTTAGTCCAACATGTTGGTTACACGAGATTAAAACACGTAAGAGAGGGGAGGCTTGCATTTAAAGCTTTTTGTATTTTATTTTATTATTATTTTTTAAAGATTTTATTTATTTGACAGAGAGAGACACAGCGAGAGAGAGAACACAAGCAGGGGGAGTGGGAGAGGGAGAAGCAGGCTTCCCACTGAGCAGGGAGCCTGATGCGGGGCTCGATCCCAGGACCCTGGGATCATGACCTGAGCTGAAGGCAGATGCTGAACGACTGAGCCACCCAGGCGCCCCAAGCTTTCTGTATTTTAGAAGTGACTATATTCTAACTTGGAATTCTCTTTAATTACTTGGTAAAAGATAGTGACAGTTCTGACATTGAGCCATCTGGTTTGCACTTAATGGATTTATAAAATCAAAAATGCTCACTAAGTTTGGAAAATTTTTAAAGGCATCACTTGAATTGTTTGTTAATATTTGTTTAATACTCATTTGACCTATAAATTTGCTCATCTAGTGTCTGCACTGCTTGGGGAGGAGGATGAAGAGGCGCTGCATTATTTGACAAGAGTTGAAGTGACAGAATTTGAAGATATTAAATCAGGTTACAGAATAGATTTTGTAAGTATCAGTAACTCCTCTTGTTTGCCACTGTGGAAATGAATTGGAGCTTTGGTTGGAAGACCTGTTTGTATTGATTTCCAGTTCTCCAATCTTTTATTATAGTATTTTGATGAAAACCCTTACTTCGAAAATAAAGTTCTCTCCAAAGAATTTCATCTGAATGAGAGTGGTGATCCATCTTCAAAGTCCACCGAAATCAAATGGAAATCTGGAAAGGTATTTGAGGAATTGTTGGGGGAAGGTATCATTTTGTGTATTTTGGTTTAGTTGAACCATTTACCAATACTTGCCACTTTGATAATGTGTTCAATGCAGATCCTTAAAATGTAAAAAACTGTAGCCAAATATAATGGCTTGGAACTGTTGTTACAAATTGTAGTGCAAGTCTTTAAAGAAACAGGCTACATTTTTTTGATTTTCATATTGGTGACAGCTTTTTCAAATGGCTTGCTACTTCCCAAGCTACATTTTTGTCTGTGTTTTAATGGTGAACCCATATAAAATTATTTATTTAATTTTTAAAGGATTTTATTTTCTTTTTAAGATTTATTTATTTATTTGACAGACACACAGCGAGAGAGGGAACACAAGCAGGGGGAGTGGGAGAGGGAGAAGCAGGCCTCCCACGGAGCAGGGAGCCCGATGCGGGGCTCGATCCCAGGACCCCGGGATCATGACCTGAGCCAAGGGCAGATGCCCAATGACTGAGCCACCCAGGCACCCCAAGGATTTTATTTATTTGACAGAGACACAGCGAGAGCGGAAACACAAGCAGGGGGAGTGGGAGGGGGAGAAGCAGGCTTCCCGTGGAGCAGAGAGCCCGATGCGGGGCTCAGTCCCAGGACCCTGGGATCATGACCTGAGCCAAAGGCAGACGCTTAATGACTGAGCCACCCAGGCGCCCCTAAAATTTTTTTAAGATTTTATTTCAGAGAGGGAGAGAGCAAGCATGAGTAGGGGGAGGGTAAAAGGGATAAGCAGACTCCATATTGAGCAGAGAGCCCTATGCACGGTTCCATCACAGGATGCTGAGCCACCCAGGGGCCCCCCATGTTAAATTATTATACTGTGTTATGGTAGTGGTTGTCAAAATGGAACTAATTTTGTAAAAAAGCCAAATGGTACGTTTTCAGGAAAAGCTTGTACAAATTTGACAAGTCTTTGCAGACCTAGAATTCTGGGATTTCTTTTATTTACCTGCTGTATGTTTTATGATTTGTTTTAGATAACATACAGGTGTTACAAACACCCCCCACCCCCCCGTTTTGGGTTAAAATCTTAATTTATAAAGGGAATTTAGGTGTTGTGGAAAACCTGTGTCAGAAGTTCTTCTGTCTTCATTTAGGATTTGACGAAACGTTCAAGTCAAACACAGAATAAAGCCAGCAGGAAGAGACAGCATGAGGAACCAGAGAGCTTCTTCACCTGGTTTACTGACCATTCTGATGCAGGTGCAGATGAGTTAGGAGAGGTCATCAAAGATGATATTTGGCCAAATCCATTACAGTACTACTTGGTGAGTTGAGAATGTACTTTTATTTCAGGTTGTATTTGTCTCCTTTGTTTGAAAATTAGTTCCTCAGGTAACTCTTGGTTTTTTTAAGGTTCCCGATATGGATGATGAAGAAGGGGAAGGAGAAGAAGATGATGATGATGATGAAGAAGAAGAAGGATTGGAAGATATCGATGAAGAAGGAGATGAGGATGAAGGTGAAGAAGATGAAGATGATGATGAGGGGGAGGAAGGAGAGGTAAAAGAAAATTTGGTTAAGTCCAAAAAAAGATCATCTCAAAGGATTTACCTTGTTATTTTGTGGGTTTAAATATATTGTATAATAGAACTGGCCAACTGATTGTGGAAGGATTTGTAGATGAGACAAGCTATTTTATTGTCCAGGATGGAAGAAGATTTTAATAAGGTCATTGTGTCCATGATTTAACTATGTAACTAGTTCTGCCTTTGTGGTTAGTACTCCATCCTGTCCTTCCCTGGCCAGTACTTAATGAAGGTGATACGGATAGTGCCGCTGGTCAAATTCTGAGATCTCTGAGTAACAGATTTGCATGTTTTGGACAAACATTAAAATTCTTATAGTGAGATTGGGATAGATGGGTTTTTGGTTTGTATTATTTGGTGTGAAAGAGGTGAGTGATTTTGGTGGGTGCTGAAAAGTTAATTTATCTGAAACAATATCACTGGGTCTTGCAATTGAGATTTGATACAGACGGATTTGTAGGTTTGTAAAATTACAAGTCCCTGTAATGTGGTAGTTTGTTCTGTGGAAGTCTGTAAGTGTTTGAATGTTGGGGAATGACTTTAGAATTAACCTTTGAAGATTGACTGCCCACTTTTTTTCTTACAGGAGGATGAAGGAGAAGATGACTAATGGAACACTGATGGATTCCAACCTTCCTTTTTTTAATTTTCTTCAGTCCCTGGGAGCAAGTTGCAGTCTTTTTTTTTTTTTTCTCCTCTTGTGCTCATTCGCCCTGTTTTTTGAAGTCTCTTTTCTCTCCCTTTATACCATGGTTCTCAACTTATTTTGGGGGGAAATACCTTGAGCAGAATACAGTGGGAAAAGAATCTCTACCCCTTTCTGTTCCAAATTCATTTTTATCCCTTCCTGTCTCAACAAAAACTTTATGGAATCAACACCACCGTGCTCTGTGGGAAAAAAGAAAAACCTTCTGCTCCCTTAGCTCTGCTGGAAGCTGGAGGGTGCTAGGCCCCTGTGTAGTAGTGCATAGAATTCTAGCTTTTTTCCTCCTTTCTCTGTATATTGGGCTCAGAGATTACACTGTGTCTCTATGTGAATATGGACAGTTAGCATTTACCAACATGTACCTGTCTACTTTCTCTTGTTTAAAAAAAAGAAAAAAAAAACTTAAAAAAATGGGGTTATAGAAGGACAGCGAAGGGTGGGTTTGAGATGTTTGGGTGGGTTAAGTGGGCATTTTGACAACATGGCTTCTCCTTTGGCATGTTTAATTGTGATGTTTAACGGACATCCTTGCAGTTTAAGATGACACTTTTAAAATAAAACTCTCTCCTAATGATGACTTGAGCCCTGCCACTCGATGGGAGAATCAGCAGAACCTGTAGGATCTTATTTGGAATTGACATTCTCTATTGTAATTTTGTTCCTGTTTATTTTTAAATTTTCTTTTTGTTTCACTGGAAAGGAAAGATGATGCTCAGTTTTAAACGTTAAAAGTGTACAAGTTGCTTTGTTACAATAAAACTAAATGTGTACACAAAGGATTTGATGCTTTTCTCTCAGAACAGGTGTATTTAATATGATTTTCCAAGTTTGACTTGTATAACGTATTGTCAAACTTTGTCACCCTGACTCCGTATTTTTTGATACGCACTTTGCAGGGTGACCTCAGGGCTGTGTGGACTGAGAAAGGGATCTGAATCAATGTAGTAATGTCTCCAAAGCCAGGAGCCATTGTGGGTACAATTTGCTGTCAGTTTCTGAAATCTTCACATCAGTCGGGATACCAGATTGCTCAAAACTCAGTTCTGATTATGTTGTGCCCTTGATTTGTGTCTCAAATTGGCATTTTTAAAAATGGGCCTTTATTTACCTGGATATAATAGTGCCTGCTACCACCATCAGACAGACCTGGTGCTCTAATGCCAAGTTACACACAAGGCAGTTACTGGCATGTCTTCGTTGGTACTATGAAATTTGGCCGAGAAGACAGACTCTCAGAGTAAGAAGTCCGTATTGGTGGTAAGAAACTCAGGAGTACTTTTGTCTCAAAGTACTAGCTATTTAGCATATAGCTCTCCAGCGAGGCCTGTCTGTGTGAATCCGGGTGAGATGCCGGGCCCTGCTCTGCTAAATGCCATTGTGCATAGGATACCATTTTGGGAAGCTGCCTAATGCATAAGCTTTTTAATGCTGTAAATTATAGTAGCTAAAATTAAATGCCACTTAACTTTTTCAGAGATGAATTAATGGACAGCCTGGTCAAAATTCAAAGCTTTTTGATGTATAAAACTTTATAAATGGAACTATTCCATCAATAGGCAAAGTGTAATGAAAACCTGTCTAGATGGATAGTATGTAATTTCTGCACAGGTCTTGTTTAGTAATACATCACTGTATACTGGTCAGGAATCTTGCTCCAATAAAGGAACGTAAAGATTTTTTTTGACTGGGGTCATTCTCCTTGTTTTGTAGAGACATGTTACTTGCTTTTGGATTGAGATCATAAGGAAGCTTTTCTGTGTGGTTTGTGTTCATAGTGACTGGGGGGGGAACTGCTCTTCAAATTGTACAGTATAGCAGAGGTCATGTCTGTATGAAAGGGTAGGTATAAAGGTCATGGAAAAGAAACTTCTTTGGAATGTAGTCAGTTCCTGAAGGGATTGAATATTTTCAATTAAACATTGAAGTCTCAATGTTTAAAGGACTCTTGGCCAGCAAAATATCCCTAGTAGCTTGAATTATTACTCATTAAGTAGGCCTGTAATTTTTGTTACTCAAAAGTTAACAGCTTACTAAAACTGACTTCCTACGGGCTGGTGAGATAAGAGCGCTGTCAGGTTATAATACGTCACCATGAGTTTAACCCAATCTTAAAATGTTCCTTTTGAGAAGGTGATTTTTAAAAAAATAGCCCTTAAAGATAACTTCCAACTATTGAGATCACCTTTGAGATTGCCACGTGCCTGCAAATCCTGTGAAGGAGAGCTGGGCTGTGAGGCTGGCAAGTGGCAGTGTGAGTGTCCTGGAAAGTGCTAGAGTAGCAAGTGCACTTTGCCTAATTGCTGGCCCTTAGGCAAGTGTGTATTGGAAAGTGCCAGATGAATGGCTTAAAACTCCTTCGGTACAGGACATTTCAAAAGGAGGGCAAGTGGCGGCTGTTGAGGTACTTTCTCAGGGAAGAGGGCATCTGCCAAAGCTGTGCTGAACTCCACTTATGAGGGAGTAAACTACATGAACTGGGGCACAGAGGATAATGTATGGATAATGTATCTATCTGGTAATGTATCCTTAGGTTTCATTTGAAACCTGAAGGAGTATGTTTTTTTAGACCATCCCTGCAGTTGAGGTGGTTTCTCCAAGGATGTTCTGATTTCTAAAAGACTTAAACTGTTCCCTGACCTCTGTGACAGGCCCTGCAGGTTGACGCAGCTCTGGCTCTAGGATGTAGAGTTTTAAATGTCCACAGAATCCTGCCTTTCTCCTTGGGTTGCGATTGGTTTTACATCTGGCCTGTTTCACTTGTGTTAGCTGGCTGGCTGCCAAAAGGTATGGATTTTTGACTTGATGGATTTGGGGGCCTTTTGGGCTTCAGAGGATTCCTAGTCAGTTGTGTTTCTGAGCTAATTTGGTCATTTTTATCACTACTGCTCTATAACAACTGGTTTCAGGGTTTCACTTGGTCCCTAAAACATAGGTTTAGTTTTTCTGCCATTTTGGTTAGGTTTTGCTATGAAGTCTTTCTGGCCATTTCAAGAATGGAATTCTGTTGCAAAGGATGAAAACTTCCAGAGTTTCTGAAGATCAAGACAAGTTCTTTAGGAGATGGATGAATAGCCATTCCAGTTGTTTAAAGAGGACATCTTAGCCTTTGGAAAACTAGTGCGTCCCTTCCCCCCGATCCCCCCAACCCCGGCAGTGACCATTCCCTTTTGAACATGAGGCTGTGTTCATGAAGACTTAGAAGTTTCAGGTCCAAGGCAAAGGACTGCAGTTTTGTGATTAGAACAAGAATAGTGGGGGGGTTGTGCCAACTTGATTAGTTGGTGACATTACATGCTCCTCCTACCCAAGGGAGGCAAATCTAAACATAGATGGATTGATGTTTGCAATACTGGGAAGGAAAAAGTAAAGAAAGTAAAACTTTTTTAATGTACCCTGCCAGAAAGTTTTAAGTTTCTTTTGGGTTGATGTTTATATAGGTTTTTTTTTTTTTTTTTTTGATGTTTGTATAGTTTTAGTAGCCAATTAGCAGGAGAGTTGTTTGTGCACCATTCAGTATTTCCTGGATGTTGAATGTGAAGTGAACTTCAATTTTCTTTCTTTTCTTTTTTTTTTTTTTAAAGATTTTATTTATTTATTTGCAAGAGAGAATGAGAGAGAGCACGAGAAGGAGGAGGGTCAGAGGGAGAAGCAGACTCCCCACCGAGCAGGGAGCCCGATGCGGGACTCGGTCCAGGGACTCCAGGATCATGACCTGAGCCGAAGGCAGTCGCTTAACCGACTGAGCCACCCAGGCGCCCGAACTTCAATTTTAAGAATTACAATTTCATGAAGTATCAGACAAGTTGAAGCTATTTGGTCAGACTCCTCCATCAGCCTAGGATTTGGTTTCCTTGTGGGTTTGCCCAGCCTGGGGTTTATGGATTCTGCTACTTTTGACCTCCTTTCCTTTACTGACCAGTGAGGCAGTGAAACACCGTAAAGTTGGAAAATCATTTTGAGTTCTTCCACATAATTCAGCTTTCTTGGCTGTAGGAGTAGATAAATGATCCTCAAGATGGGAGATACCTGCTTTGCTCGCTTGTTTGTGCTTTCCCTCAATCTTATGACCTGCAGTCAGAAACTGATAGTCCTTTTGCTTAATTATGCTTAGTTAACATTCAGCTCAGCGCATCTTGATGATAACCCACTTAAAAGAGCCTACTATGTGCTGTTGTCTAAGCCCTCAGCAACTCTGCGCCCATGTGTAAAAGTGTCTCGACTTGCCTTTGATTATGAACTGTAGGCATGCCCCCCACTGAACCAAGTTGCCTTCGCATATGTTGGTGTCATTTGGTTGATTTCCCATTGCAGGACAACCCAGGATTGTCCATGGCTTGTCAGCATCACCTTCTCCACTCTGTTGGGGAGGTGGTCAGAGCAAAGTGGAAGTGACATTTCCTTCAGTAAAAGCACTGGAGGGTGCCTATTCCAAGTCAGCAAATCAGCCACCTTCAATATTTGACCCCTACTCCCAGCCCCTTGGACCAGGCTCCTTCCAGTGAAGTCCTGGCACAGAGTGCTGGTTAGCACAGGATCCTAGAATTCCTACCCAGGCAAGCCACTGCCAGGTCAGTCAGTGCCCACCGATTGGCTTTCCTGAAGTTGTGGCTGTTTCCTAAGATGTAAACGTGTCTTCTGTTTGGATGGGTTCTTTAGGGCAAGGGAAGAATAGTGGCTCTGGCTAACCCAGAAAGCTCCACTCTGAGTGGTGGGGGCCTGAGAGATAACTTGGTTTTATTTGTTTTTTAAGATTTTGTTTATTTATTTGAGGGCGCAAGCAGGGGGAGAGGGAAAAGCCGACTCCCCGCTGAACAGGGAGCCCAGCGTGGGGCTCAATCCCAGGACCTTGGGATCATGACCTGAGCCACCCAGGTGCCCGGAGATGTTTGGTTTATTCACCTGTCCTTTGTAATTTGGCATGATTTGGGCGAGGCTTTACTTTTTTGAGACGTATACCTTCTTAGAGTAGTGACTCCAGACGGCCAAGACAGGTTTGGGATTAGCCCATTTGACACCAAGGATCTAAGACTACGAGAAACGTCGGGGCGGGAACCAGGTGGTGGGGCTCGGGGGAAGGCGCTGAGCCGGGCTGGAGCGGGCCGGCCGCACCGGCAGTGTCCCGCGGCCGGCAGGCGGCGCTATCGCCACCCTGCCACCCCTCAGGGCAGCTAGAGAACCCCGGCCCAGGAAATGTCCCCTCCTGCCCTTCTGTCCCGGGGCGGGCTTCAGCGTCACACCGAGCCGGAACTGCGGCCTCAGGAAAGGGGCGCTGGGCCCAAAGCCCGCGGAACGTGGGAGCCGGGGATGCGCGGGGGCCTCGGGTGGAGGAGTAGGGTCCCGGGCGCTGACCTCTCGCAGCCGAGAGGCGGCGCTGATCCCAGTCCCGCGAGGGCCAGCCGACCTCGGGAGGGGGCGCCCGATCCCGCGGCTGCGGCCCGGCTTCCCGGGAAGTTTCAAGTTTGAAAGTCCTGGCGGTGGGGCCGAGGCTTCCGGAACCACAGTGGTCGAGAGGAGGGGCCGAGCGGCCGGAGCGGCGCCATGGAGGAGGGGGCGCCGCGGCAGGTGAACGGCGCCCAGAGAGGCAGGGCTGCGGGCGCGGGCCGAGGGGGTCGGGAAGTCTCATTCACGCCGCGGGCGCCCCGAGCTCCGGCCGCGTCCCCTAGACCCGACCCCCAGCCCCTCCCGGGTCCCTTCTCAGCCCCGGCCCCGGGCTTCGCTACACCTCGCAGGGCAGACCTGAGCATGGGGGTGAGTCGTTCATGTGCCCTGAAAACGTCCC